AGATGTGTATAAGAGACCGACCCCTTAGTGACTGCTGTTTGTTTTTAGAATGTGATCTGGTTTTCCATGTCCATTTTTCGTGATTATGACTATTCTGGATAAAGAATGTTTTGAGCAGAGGTGGATTCAATGCACCCCCCTCCCCCTTAAAATAAATTCAAATTGAAGTGCGAGAGTGTAATTTCCGGCCATCTAGAGATGCCCTAATCATAAATTTTCTTACCTCAGCCCCAACCATGGTGGGGCTGAGGTGGGTGGTTCCTCGGTCTGTGAAAGTCCCTCCCTGGTTCACCTTTCTTTCGAATTCCTGGATATGCCACTGTTGATTTATTATATAATTATTTTTTCGCTTATTTATAATGCGTTTATTGCAATTTTCACTTTCAAACTCTCAAACAGTCCTAAGAACGTACAGAGTGCGCTACTTCACAGGGGGATTCGCCCCCTTGACCCCGCCGGGGTCATACGTAATTCGCATAACGGCTCCCCCCCCCCCTTTCAAAATCCTGGCTACGTCCCTGTTGTCAATCGAAGGTCTGACTACCTCCACCATCCGCAAACATATGGATTGGTCGAGAGGTTTCCCCGAGAATGGTGCGGGGTTTACTTGATGTAATAAAGAAATGTGGACGGGCACAGTGACAGGCTCTCAGAGCGTTGTGTCACACGGCGTTAATTTAATTTTTCAATTTATTCAACATTTATTCGATCATTTATAAACATGCATGGAAATTAAACAAATTAAAGTTACAGAAAATGGTCAAGGGACGACATAGAAACTCTTACGAGTCCGTCACTGTTGTCCCTCTTCAAACACAGCAAAAGCACTAATAAATAAAGAAGATGAGAAATATATTAGCCTCAATGAAAGATTTATTACGGATAAACATAGAGCATGTTCAGAAAAAGAAGAAACAAACATGATCACAAATCAGTTTGTGGATAGTTTTGTTTATTTTTAACGGTATTCATTTTATTCAAGTTTAATCTTTTTACTGAATATCCCTGCATTTTATTGACTTTTTTTTTTTATTCAGGCAGCCATTTAGAAGCTTTTGCTTTTTGGCTTTTTTGCCTCTCTTCTGAAATTAATATTTACCTTTTTAATTTAATTGAATTGAAGTGTCCAGGTGATGAAGTTTTGTTGCTTGTATCATCTAGAAACAATGCGTTGGAAGCAAAGTGGCAGGGTCCGTACAAGATTTTGAAAAAGATGGGTCCAGTAAACTATGAGATATAAACTAATGACAAACGGAAAAAATCAAATGTCTACCATCTAAACCTCCTCAAGAAATTCAATCGTCGAACTATGGAGGCTATGATAGCTATCTCGGTGCAAATTCTGGAACAACCACCATAGTACAGAGCCATAAATAGAAAGAGTTGCGACATTGAGAATTTAGAAGCCATTTTGTGTCATACGCGATGCGCGTTCTGTGTCTAACGCATAGAGCTGTGTATAATATTGTATAATACAGTTAGCGGCCTCCTGCTGTATAGTTTAATTTCATTTAATCTTTTTAGCAGTCGAATTTCATGTAACTATTTATAGATTTTTTTTT